CTCCCACTGCGCACACACAGAGGGACCCGTCCCAGATCTCCCACTGCGCACACACAGAGGGACCCGTCCCAGATCTCCCACTGCGCACACACAGAGGGACCCGTCCCAGATCTCCCACTGCGCACACACAGAGGGACCCGTCCCAGATCTCCCACTGCGCACACACAGAGGGACCCGTCCCAGATCTCCCACTGCGCACACACAGAGGGACCCGTCCCAGATCTCCCACTGCGCACACACAGAGGGACCCGTCCCAGATCTCCCACTGCGCACACACAGAGGGACCCGTCCCAGATCTCCCACTGCGCACACACAGAGGGACCCGTCCCAGATCTCCCACTGCGCACACACAGAGGGACCCGTCCCAGATCTCCCACTGCGCACACACAGAGGGACCCGTCCCAGATCTCCCACTGCGCACACACAGAGGGACCCGTCCCAGATCTCCCACTGCGCACACACAGAGGGACCCGTCCCAGATCTCCCACTGCGCACACACAGAGGGACCCGTCCCAGATCTCCCACTGCGCACACACAGAGGGACCCGTCCCAGATCTCCCACTGCGCACACACAGAGGGACCCGTCCCAGATCTCCCACTGCGCACACACAGAGGGACCCGTCCCAGATCTCCCACTGCGCACACACAGAGGGACCCGTCCCAGATCTCCCACTGCGCACACACAGAGGGACCCGTCCCAGATCTCCCACTGCGCACACACAGAGGGACCCGTCCCAGATCTCCCACTGCGCACACACAGAGGGACCCGTCCCAGATCTCCCACTGCGCACACACAGAGGGACCCGTCCCAGATCTCCCACTGCGCACACACAGAGGGACCCGTCCCAGATCTCCCACTGCGCACACACAGAGGGACCCGTCCCAGATCTCCCACTGCGCACACACAGAGGGACCCGTCCCAGATCTCCCACTGCGCACACACAGAGGGACCCGTCCCAGATCTCCCACTGCGCACACACAGAGGGACCCGTCCCAGATCTCCCACTGCGCACACACAGAGGGACCCGTCCCAGATCTCCCACTGCGCACACACAGAGGGACCCGTCCCAGATCTCCCACTGCGCACACACAGAGGGACCCGTCCCAGATCTCCCACTGCGCACACACAGAGGGACCCGTCCCAGATCTCCCACTGCGCACACACAGAGGGACCCGTCCCAGATCTCCCACTGCGCACACACAGAGGGACCCGTCCCAGATCTCCCACTGCGCACACACAGAGGGACCCGTCCCAGATCTCCCACTGCGCACACACAGAGGGACCCGTCCCAGATCTCCCACTGCGCACACACAGAGGGACCCGTCCCAGATCTCCCACTGCGCACACACAGAGGGACCCGTCCCAGATCTCCCACTGCGCACACACAGAGGGACCCGTCCCAGATCTCCCACTGCGCACACACAGAGGGACCCGTCCCAGATCTCCCACTGCGCACACACAGAGGGACCCGTCCCAGATCTCCCACTGCGCACACACAGAGGGACCCGTCCCAGATCTCCCACTGCGCACACACAGAGGGACCCGTCCCAGATCTCCCACTGCGCACACACAGAGGGACCCGTCCCAGATCTCCCACTGCGCACACACAGAGGGACCCGTCCCAGATCTCCCACTGCGCACACACAGAGGGACCCGTCCCAGATCTCCCACTGCGCACACACAGAGGGACCCGTCCCAGATCTCCCACTGCGCACACACAGAGGGACCCGTCCCAGATCTCCCACTGCGCACACACAGAGGGACCCGTCCCAGATCTCCCACTGCGCACACACAGAGGGACCCGTCCCAGATCTCCCACTGCGCACACACAGAGGGACCCGTCCCAGATCTCCCACTGCGCACACACAGAGGGACCCGTCCCAGATCTCCCACTGCGCACACACAGAGGGACCCGTCCCAGATCTCCCACTGCGCACACACAGAGGGACCCGTCCCAGATCTCCCACTGCGCACACACAGAGGGACCCGTCCCAGATCTCCCACTGCGCACACACAGAGGGACCCGTCCCAGATCTCCCACTGCGCACACACAGAGGGACCCGTCCCAGATCTCCCACTGCGCACACACAGAGGGACCCGTCCCAGATCTCCCACTGCGCACACACAGAGGGACCCGTCCCAGATCTCCCACTGCGCACACACAGAGGGACCCGTCCCAGATCTCCCACTGCGCACACACAGAGGGACCCGTCCCAGATCTCCCACTGCGCACACACAGAGGGACCCGTCCCAGATCTCCCACTGCGCACACACAGAGGGACCCGTCCCAGATCTCCCACTGCGCACACACAGAGGGACCCGTCCCAGATCTCCCACTGCGCACACACAGAGGGACCCGTCCCAGATCTCCCACTGCGCACACACAGAGGGACCCGTCCCAGATCTCCCACTGCGCACACACAGAGGGACCCGTCCCAGATCTCCCACTGCGCACACACAGAGGGACCCGTCCCAGATCTCCCACTGCGCACACACAGAGGGACCCGTCCCAGATCTCCCACTGCGCACACACAGAGGGACCCGTCCCAGATCTCCCACTGCGCACACACAGAGGGACCCGTCCCAGATCTCCCACTGCGCACACACAGAGGGACCCGTCCCAGATCTCCCACTGCGCACACACAGAGGGACCCGTCCCAGATCTCCCACTGCGCACACACAGAGGGACCCGTCCCAGATCTCCCACTGCGCACACACAGAGGGACCCGTCCCAGATCTCCCACTGCGCACACACAGAGGGACCCGTCCCAGATCTCCCACTGCGCACACACAGAGGGACCCGTCCCAGATCTCCCACTGCGCACACACAGAGGGACCCGTCCCAGATCTCCCACTGCGCACACACAGAGGGACCCGTCCCAGATCTCCCACTGCGCACACACAGAGGGACCCGTCCCAGATCTCCCACTGCGCACACACAGAGGGACCCGTCCCAGATCTCCCACTGCGCACACACAGAGGGACCCGTCCCAGATCTCCCACTGCGCACACACAGAGGGACCCGTCCCAGATCTCCCACTGCGCACACACAGAGGGACCCGTCCCAGATCTCCCACTGCGCACACACAGAGGGACCCGTCCCAGATCTCCCACTGCGCACACACAGAGGGACCCGTCCCAGATCTCCCACTGCGCACACACAGAGGGACCCGTCCCAGATCTCCCACTGCGCACACACAGAGGGACCCGTCCCAGATCTCCCACTGCGCACACACAGAGGGACCCGTCCCAGATCTCCCACTGCGCACACACAGAGGGACCCGTCCCAGATCTCCCACTGCGCACACACAGAGGGACCCGTCCCAGATCTCCCACTGCGCACACACAGAGGGACCCGTCCCAGATCTCCCACTGCGCACACACAGAGGGACCCGTCCCAGATCTCCCACTGCGCACACACAGAGGGACCCGTCCCAGATCTCCCACTGCGCACACACAGAGGGACCCGTCCCAGATCTCCCACTGCGCACACACAGAGGGACCCGTCCCAGATCTCCCACTGCGCACACACAGAGGGACCCGTCCCAGATCTCCCACTGCGCACACACAGAGGGACCCGTCCCAGATCTCCCACTGCGCACACACAGAGGGACCCGTCCCAGATCTCCCACTGCGCACACACAGAGGGACCCGTCCCAGATCTCCCACTGCGCACACACAGAGGGACCCGTCCCAGATCTCCCACTGCGCACACACAGAGGGACCCGTCCCAGATCTCCCACTGCGCACACACAGAGGGACCCGTCCCAGATCTCCCACTGCGCACACACAGAGGGACCCGTCCCAGATCTCCCACTGCGCACACACAGAGGGACCCGTCCCAGATCTCCCACTGCGCACACACAGAGGGACCCGTCCCAGATCTCCCACTGCGCACACACAGAGGGACCCGTCCCAGATCTCCCACTGCGCACACACAGAGGGACCCGTCCCAGATCTCCCACTGCGCACACACAGAGGGACCCGTCCCAGATCTCCCACTGCGCACACACAGAGGGACCCGTCCCAGATCTCCCACTGCGCACACACAGAGGGACCCGTCCCAGATCTCCCACTGCGCACACACAGAGGGACCCGTCCCAGATCTCCCACTGCGCACACACAGAGGGACCCGTCCCAGATCTCCCACTGCGCACACACAGAGGGACCCGTCCCAGATCTCCCACTGCGCACACACAGAGGGACCCGTCCCAGATCTCCCACTGCGCACACACAGAGGGACCCGTCCCAGATCTCCCACTGCGCACACACAGAGGGACCCGTCCCAGATCTCCCACTGCGCACACACAGAGGGACCCGTCCCAGATCTCCCACTGCGCACACACAGAGGGACCCGTCCCAGATCTCCCACTGCGCACACACAGAGGGACCCGTCCCAGATCTCCCACTGCGCACACACAGAGGGACCCGTCCCAGACCCCCCACTGCGCGCACACACAGAGGGACCCGTCCCAGGCCCCCACTGCACACACAGAGGAACCCGATGTTCAATGCCGTTAGGGCAACAAGGACGGAGTCAGGTTTTGACTAGTTATCTGACCAAACCTACACTCATCTGAGAAGGGGACAGAGACGGCGGGGCTGGGGTGCTGCCGAAGGGCCCTCCTGTCACCCGAGGCGCTGGGCTGAGCCGTCCACTCTGGGCCACCAGAGGCCTCTTCGGGCCACAGTCCAGCGTCCAGGCGAGGAGGCCTGGTCACGGCGGAAAGGGAAGACGTCGCCGACAGGCAAACACCCCTCCCTTCAGCATGGAGCCCTCAGTCCTTGCCCGCTGTTCGGCCGGCACCTCAGTGTGATCCCAACCGTGAGGTCACTGCGCTCGAAAAGGAGGTGGTTCAGGGAGAGCTGAGCTAGAGGCAAGACAGAGCCCTCCCGGCCCCACAGGGCGCGTGTACACACTCAGAACCCCAGGGCCAAGGCAAAGGGGGGGGGGGGTACTGCTCTGATGGAGGGGGGTGCAGAAAATTGTTGTTTCATATTTTGTTACATCAATGGCTTGAAAATTTTTATTTAACTTCCGCCAATATTGGGAATAGAAAAATGAACTCTGCAGAATCGCACAAATAAATTTTCCCGATCTCCACTAACAAATGTTAACCTCCAACGGCTAAGCAATGATCATGCTATGAACAGTCACCATAATCTTGAGTACTGAGATAGAAAACAGGCGCAGACAGTCAAATATTTCTCACACAGCATAGTACAACTTCTTTTCTTTAAAATCCCCAGGTGGGCTTCATCACTTGAAAAGATATACAGCAATTTGACGATCGTGTCAAACTTAGCCTTGCACATCTTTTAAAATCCTGAAGTTTTTAGCAACTTACAAAGCACTCCGCCGAGCCGAGTCTGCATGCACTGGTGGCTGGCGGGCACGGACGGGGCATCCGCTGAGCAGGCGGTTGTGCTTCATCGGGTGAGGAAAGGTGGGCCCAGGCGCAGGGGTGCCCGCTGCTGGGCCTCGCAGGCCTCGGCTTGAGGCAAAGCTGCACATGATTAAAAGCTGGACTCTGGGCTTTAGGAGTGACTGGGGGTGGGGGTAGGGGTGGGGAGAAGTGGGGGCTCTGCCCTCTCCGAGGAAGGAGGGGACCACCTTCCCAACCTCCAGAACCCCTGGGCCCTGCAGTCTGACCAGGCCGGTGCGGGGGAGCCAGCGCGGATGGACTCAGCCTTGAGGCCCTAGACCCGCTCCCACGACCTGCTTCCTCCAGGACTGAGCGTGTACACCCCCGAGTGTCAGAAGACGCGGTCCTGATGGCGCCCGGCCATGTGCACTGGCCCAGGCCTTCCAGTCCAGCGCGTCTCCAGAGCGGGCTGCGCGGAGGGCGGTGAAGCGTGTCCTGGAGGGGAACCAGGGAACCGTGTTTGCGTGGACAGACATCCTCTGGGAAGACAACAGCGGAGGGAAAACGTCATGGTCCAGAGGCGTGGGAATTATTCCCAGAACAGTGCAAGGCCTCTGTAATTACATTTATTCCAGGGATGAAAAACTGGAATTTTATATTGTTGCATATTTTGAAATTTTTTGGGTAAGATAAGGGAACTATTAGGTGTTTCAAAGACCAACCTTTCGGCTCATGACGATAAAAGCCAAGTCCGCGTGTGAAGGGTGCATGAGCGGTTGATGGGGTCCAATGAGGCTCCACCACCGGGGAAGGAGCCCCAGCCCCTTCTCATTCGGGAAACAAGAGGCCCGCGAACGAACGAACGGAGCAGAGCCCAGCGGGACGGGTCTGGCTGGTGGGGAGGGTGCTCTCTGCTCTGGGCGGGTCGCTCCGCTTGGGCCGAGGGAGGTGCTACGCTCCTTATGGAGCCGGTAAAAGGACAAGAAGCCTTCCGGACTCCCGAGGCGGACGGTGGAACCACCACTGAAATCGCTGCTCTCCGTCATCCTACAATGAACCTGAAACAAGACCTAGACGCCTTTTTGGCCAAAGGGCCCAAACCATGAAGAACACAGTTGGTGGCAATGCCGTTGCCTGCAGAGCAGAGGAAAGGCCCTCTGGCACACGGTTCGGTGGCTCGAAAACAAACTCATCGATGGCGTAACGGTGATAACTTAAGAATGTGTCATGTTCAGTTGTGGAATACAGGTTTAGAGCTATTTTATAAATTTGGGATTCAGGTATGAATATAAATAAAATAATGCATAAAAACAGAACAAAAGCTTGAATCCTGGGTCCTAGGGTTCAGCAAGGGGCTAGAGGAAGGCGGCTCCACCTCCTGCGCCCGGCAGGTCCGGCCAGTGGAACGCACTGGTGGCTTATTTTTGGTGCACGGTTATACCAACAGTACATCTGATATTCAGAAAGACAAAAATAGGGGGGAGTAGGAATTTAAAGTGACAATGAGCACACTTACAGGCGCGTGATATTTGAGGAAACTTTATACACGCAGGAAACTGCTTACTTTGTCCTGCAGAGTCAAGTTGTAAACCAATTGTGTTTTCATACTCATGTTCTGATTAGAGGTTTGTGAGCATCAAAGGGTCTTACAGTTAAAAACTATCAAAGCATTTCACGGGACTGGTGTCTGGGTGGCACACACAGCGAGCCCGCTCAGCGGTGCCGCCCGACCTCGGCTCCTGGCCGCGCTCACCAGTCCCGGAGGCGGCGGCTCCCTGGGTAAGAGCTACATTACAGAACTGATCACTGTTTCAAACCAGCCAGCACGACATTCAAGTAACAAGGTGTTTCAATGGAGAAGCGAGAAGAACTTTACCTAACACTTTACACAGCTACATAAAATTAAATAAAACAAACTTTTAATGCATATGTAATACAATTTATATCTTTTAGGATTTCTAAACTAAAACTATCATTTGTTTCAATGGTACTATATTTTGCACAATAACTTATACTTAGGAGAAATCTTCCACAAAAATAGATATCATTATGACATTCACATTGATACTCTTTAAGACAAAGCTGAGGGAACACGGTCCCTGACCTCCCACCCCACGCACACCTGTGATGCACCGAAGTCTTGATATGTTTAAAAGGGTCTTCACATCGGTAAGACCAGTCACTCGCTGTCAGCCAAGTGGTTTCTTGCATTTACATCATTGCAAAGACAGTGTAAGAACAGCTGAGCACACAGTGCTATCTTAGGTGTGACACGGGCGGAAGCAGCCAGGCCAAGACGACGTCTCTTCCTTCTGGCCAATGGAAACCACGGGCCCCTTTTCCACAGAGCCCATGTCAGCTGTGGTGCCGGCGGGAAGACCAGCGCGGTGGTGCCGAAGCAGGTGAAGACCAAAGAGCACGTGGTGCCGAGCAGGCCGAGACCTGGCCCTGCCTCGCTGCAGGACGGGCACCAAGCTCCCTGTGGCCAGGGACCAGTTCCCAAGGAACACAGCCTGGGCCAAGGGGAGGACAACCTGCTGGCAGAGTGAGAGCCCCTGCAGGAGGCCCCTGCTGCCTCAGGGAGGAAGGAGGCCGGGGAGGAAGGAGGCCGGGGAGGAAGGAGGCCGGGAAGAGGGAGGGCAGGAAGGAAGGAGGTCAGGGAGGAGGGTGGCCAGGGAGGAAGGAGGCTGGGGAGGAAGGAGGCTGGGGAAGAAGGAGGCCGGGGAGGAAGGAAGCCGGGAAGGAAGGAGGCCGGGAAGAGGGAGGCCAGGAAGGAAGGAGGTCAGGGAGGAAGGAGGCTGGGGAGGAGGGTGGCCAGGGAGGAAGGAGGCTGTGGAGGAAGGAGGTCAGGAATGAAGGAGGCCGGGAGGAAGGAGACCATGAGAAGCAGCAAGGAGCCTAAAGCCCCTGCCCAGGCCGTGTCCCTTACTGCGATGTGCAAAAGTATGACCCCTCCCCATGGTCCCCTGCGCTTGCAATGACACAGCAGGCTTGCGATGCAGAGAAAACCAAGCGTGAGTGGTTCCTAGTGTTGTCTCGCTCCCTGCCCGGCAGGACCGTGGCTGGACTGCCCTCTGCCTCCCGACTGCCCTCACCTGCGCGGACTCCCAGTGCAGGGCCAGAGGCGGCGAGTTCAGAAAGTCCCATCTTACTGCCCCTTCCGAACGACCTTTGCCCAGGTTCCTTTAAACAAAAGGTCCAAATCCAAACAAGCTATGATTCTAGCTGACCCTCTTCCTAAAATCAGCTGACTTAAAAAAGGCAAGGTGCTTGTGTCAAAACACATCCAATTTTAATTGCATATTTCAAATTCTTAAGAATTGCTTATGCGCCTTAAAGCCTCGCACTTCTTTCTTTTTTGGTATTGAAAGCAAGAAAAGTGTTTAAATGATGGGAGAACGACCACAGAAAGCGCCTGCAGCGTGGCTCGTGCAGGCGGAGCTGCGGGGGATCGGCCGCCAGGCTCCCCACAGCCCGCAGCAGCTCCGGTCGCCCGAGAGCAGCAGCGACGCTGGGAGTCTCAGGACGCTCATTAGAAGTTTCACTTGCTCCCAGGCCAACCAGAGGCAGTGCAGCCACTGCGGGCTGTGTGCTCTCGCCGTGGGCTCACCAGCACCGGCCACCTGCTCCCGCCTCGCTCTGTGCTACGCTGTGGGAGAGGGCGGGGCCGTGTGGCCTCATCGGGGCCTGAGGACCAAGGGGTGTGGAGTGACAGGGAGAAGCCAGGCTGCCCAGGAGGAGGGGAGCAACGTGCACTTTTAGAAACCCTCCCGGCTACTGTTCCCGTGTGGACTGCCTGCCATCGAAGCCTGCCCCTTCAGGCCGGCGGCGGGCTCTCTCACGCCCGGTGGTGTCATCTTTGGCAAGCAATGGACGTGAAAGAGCTACGACACTGAAGCAGAAACGGGACTGAGAATGCGCTGCCCGAGGAGAAGGCACCAAGTCCAAGTGTACAAGCACCAGTGCAGGGCACGGACCAAATCTCCTGGAGTTGGTTGGGGGGAACCGGGAAAAGAGGGCGGCACCCATCCCGGGGCTGCGATGCTGAGAGCTGAAGGCAGAGGATGGAGCCCACGTTCCTTTTAAGCTACGTGTCCAAAGAGAGCTGCTGCGAACCAGCTTTCTACCAGCCGGGAAGGCAGAAGGAGAGGTCAACGCCAAGTAGATTCATCAGCCATCACTGCACCTGCTTCCGGGGAACAGGATCGAATCGGGGCGTTTGGCACGATGAAGGGGACAGTGCAGTCTGCACACACGGTGACATCCAGAAACATGATCTCAGGTGGGGGCCTCCGAACGGAACCGGAGACCCCCCCAGAAGGCCAACAGGTCCAGTTGCTGAGAACGACATGATGCACAGAGGAGCGATCCAGGCCATGCAGGAAGAGGCGTGCCTTCCAGTCGGCCACCTGCTCGGAAGCTGCGGACGGATGGGGAGAGCTGCCATGGGGGGCCCGGAGCTCTGCCTGGGGAGGCGGCCCCAGGGCCAGGGCGCCGTGCAGCCACGAGATCCCAGCACGTAGACCGCGCGTGAGATGCACGGAGCTCTCCGGGAAGTGGCGCCAACATGGAGGAACGAGCAAAGAATTAAGGCAGATGTAGCACAGGACCGGAAGTGTTGCCGTTTTTGGTAATAGCTGCTTGTCCACAGATGTGAGCAGATGGCCAGGTGAAGCCTTGTCATACCTGATGTCCGGGAACAGACGCCCATACCACGCGCGGAAGCTGCCTGCCTTTCTCAGGAGGCAGATGCATATCTGACGTCAAGAACAGAAGCAGCCTGAGGAAAGGAGAACAAAAGAATCAGCCCGGCTGGCGTGGTTCAGTGGCTGAGTGTTGACCTTTGAACTAGGACAGTGGTGGGCAAACTCATTAGTAAACAGAGCCAAATTTTTTAAACTTAAACTATATAGGTAGGTACATTGTTATTAACTTAATTAGGGTACTCCTAAGGCTTAGGAAGAGCCACACTCAAGGGGCCAAAGAGCCGCATGTGGCTTGCGAGCCGCAGTTTGCCAACCACGGAACTAGGAGATCACGGTTCAATTCCCAGTCAGGGCATATGCCTGGGTTGCGAGCTCCATCCCCAGTGAAGGGCGTGCAGGAGGCAGCCAATCGATGATTCCCTCTCATCATTGATATTTCTATCCCTCTCTCCCTCTCCCTCTCTGAAATCAATAAAAAAAAAAATTTTAATAAAAGAAGAACAAAGAGCAGGAAACGATGCAAATGGCTTGTTCTGGTGTCCTGCAAGGAGAGAGGTGGACCTGCTGACTGCCCCGTACACAGCGGGCACAGCAGAGCTCCTGAGGCGGGCCCAGGAGGTGGCTGCACAGCGTGGCCCCTGCAGCCAGATGCCTGGCTCAGAGCCTGGCTCTGCCACTTTCCAGCTGTCTCCTTGCAGGATACACGCAGGCACGGAGCCCACCACATAGGACAAACAGAGGCCGGCCAGGGCAGCGAGCGCGTGCTCGGCGAGGGTAGCGGCTAGAGGCTGCCAGGCTCCTGCTGGGACAGGACACCTACGACCCTGCAGATGGCAGAACCCGCTTTCACCGCTGCCCCGGCATTTCTCCACTCTCCACTCCGTTTTCAAGCCAGATGTCCACCCCAAACCTCCAACCTAAAGGTCCCTTGTAGGCCCTGCTCCCCTCGTGGTGTCTTGTTGCCAGGAAACAACGGCTACGCATCCAGAAGCTGCCCATGCGCCCGTTCAGGGCGCTCAGGTCACGGGAGGGCTGGGCGTCCATCTTGAGCCTTCTCCGAGCGACACAGAGCCCCACCGCCGTTCCAGCGCTCGCCCTGCCCTTTCTGACACGCCCAGCCCCGGGCCCACCGCTGGCTCCTCAGCGAACCCTGGATCTCAGCAGCCCAGACCCGGGGCTTCCCCACCTTCTCAGTCTGCAGGGCAAGCGCACGGAAGAAAGCTCTCTCTCTTGCAAACGCGCATGTCCTGTCCCCAGGAAGCCTCCTGAGTGGAGTCCAGGACCTTAGGAAGTGAATGTGTGCTACAGGGGCAACTGGCACGGGACGAAATCACGGCCACAGACGGAGATGCCTTCGCGCTGCTCAGAGGCTGCTGTGAGCCAGGGCTGCAGGCAGGCCACGTGCGACTGGCCGGGACCCTCGCATCGGCCACACTTCCTACAGGGCCTCTCAGTCTAACCAGCGGGCCGGGCAGCATGGGCTGCCCACATGCCCGGACACCCCCCACTCAGGGCGGGAGCCTCTGGCTGCTCCCCGCTTTCAGAGGAGAGCACAGCAGCAGGAAACAGGCAGCGCGGCATCCCCATGGCTGTGGGAGGCTCTGAGGAGAAAGTGACTTTCCTGGTAAAGCCCAGCCAACCGGGAAGTGACCAGCGCAGTGAACAACGCCAATGAGAAGTGATGGCGACGACCGGGCCCTGTGCCGCCGGGAGGAAACAGAACAAGCCCGTCCCAGCAGCAGGGAGGGACGGGGGTCCCTGCCTGACCACCACCCAGCCGTCCCGCCAACCGCTGCAGACTGCCCCCGTGGAAGCAGTGAGCCCCGCACTGCGGCCGCGCAGGACGCACAGTGAGGCGGCAGCACTGCACAGCAGCTGCGCTCCGCGGACACTCCGGGGCACTTGCAGCTCTCCGCTCCACGGCAGAGCTCTTTCGGTGCTTAAAGAGAAGCTGGGAGTGTGGGATCGTCTGTGGCTGGGGAAACCACGGTCAAATGAGGAATTTGTCCAGGAATTCAAATGTAAGGAACACCCAGGGACAAACACCTGAATGAACTCCACACACAGATCATGCATGTACAGGCTAACGTCAAGTTACTGACTGCTGAGACCAGGAACCTGGCCCTGGTGCGTGTGGACGTCAGCAGCGGGGCCGGCGGGAAGGGGCGGGGCCTGGCGGAGAAGAGCGTGCTGCTGCGGGCTCACCTCCTCCTCCTCCTCGGGGACCTTGAGAGCACTGTCCGGGGACTTGACGGGCTTCTGGCCGCTGGGCCCATTGGTCTCTTCCTTCCCATGCTCCGCCTCCCATTCTTGTAAAACTTCGTCTATGTTGAAGCGGCGTCGATAATTTACGAAAAAGTTTTTCACTTGTACCACTGATTTGTTCCCAATCACATCCGAGATGGCCTGGAAGTCCCGGCCGTATTTCCTGATGGCTGAAGAGAATGCGTGTTTCAACACAGAGAACACCGAGGGGAACCCCCACGCAGAGGCCTTCCTGCATCCAGACGAGGAAACCCACAGGCTTCACCCACGGGCCTACCCAGTCCCAGACCAGAGGGGGTGGTCTAGCCACACCCAGACAGCTGACCCGAGGCCAGGGGGACCCTGCCAGCAGATGCCCTGTGAACACTGGCCACCCAGCAATGACTGTGGGCGTGGACACTCCGCCCCCATCCTCTCAGGGTCCCAGGACTACAACACCCCGACCTTAAACCCTAACACTCAGTCTGCTAAAATGAACTACTCACACCTGTACCACTGACACCTCCACACTAGCTTTAATCTTGTGAGACCAGAGGGAGTGGTGATGTGGCTGAAAGTGACCCCTGGAGTCTGCTTCCACGCGAGCAGTGCACTGGGCACGGGGTGTGGGGGAGCTCACCAATCTCTCCTGAAAGCGCTCTAGGAGAAGGAGCCATACCTTGCACGGCGAGCAGCTGCTCCTCTGTGGTCCAGCGCGCGTTGCACTTCTGAATGACCTGGACACCCAAATGTGTCATGTCAGCACGCCCACCACCCACCCTTAGGAGCCAGCCACCCTTTCTCAGGCCAGGGCTCACGCCGGCTCGGCTTATGAAGCCATCACATCTTTCCCCAAGAGGGTGAGAGGTGCGCACTGGGGACAGAGCGCAGGGTGTGGCCTCTGTGATGACGCTGACAGTCCTACCTCGGGAAGTCGGTACAGCTCAATTCCACCGTCGAGTTTTTCTTTGAGAGCACTGTTGGTCTGTTTAATGTTCTGAATCTAAGAGAGAAAAAACTATTATCCTATGTAATAAAAGCCTAATATGCAAATCGACCAAACATCAGAATGACGGTTCACTATGACACACACTGACCACCAGGGGGCAGACACTCAACACAGGAGCTACCCCCAGGCCAGCCAAGGCGGGTGCCAGCGGGGGCCCCCCGATCACCCTGCCGGTCACCCCACAGATCAGCCCTGATCGCAGGCCAGGCCTAGCGACCCTACCTGTGCACGAATTTTGTGCACTGGGCCTCTAGTTTTAAAATAAAAAACTCTGAAGTAGGGCGTGGCGGGCTAATCCACAGGCAGCGGGCATGGTGGGGCCCCGCTCCTGCTCAGCGGGGCTCTGGGCTCTGGGCCCGCAGGAGAAAGTGGCAGGAGAGTGATCTGACATCAGGTAAGGATCCGAGGCACGAGTCAGTGACACTGAAGAGAACCTGGACGGTGCTGGTGGCTCCATGGCTTGTGGGGGAAAGAGAAATGGTCACTGGTGCGGAGAAGGCAGTGCTAATAAACAGTTCTGAGGGTTCTCTCTCTCCCTCTCCCTTCCTCTCTCTGAAATCAATAAAAACACCTTTTAAAAAATATTTCCTTAATTGTTTAAGCTGCTGTTGGTCAGGTTTTCTGTCATTTCCAGGTGAACGGTTCCCTGACATACAACCAAACACGGGCCCCCAGATAACCCGCCACTGAGTCCAGTGCGCCGGGCAGGAGCGCGAGGTTGTGGGCGGCAGACACCTGTCTCCGCCTCAGCAAGTCAGACTCGAAGCCCCCTCTCTTCGACCATGTGAACGAGGAGCCACCTTCAAGTTAAAAAGCCCTGCTCTCCTCTTGTCTACCCCGCCACAGCACCAGCAGCACTGCGGAAGAGGGGTGCAGCCGCAGGGGGCAGGGAGTCCCTCAGAGGAAGGGCAGATGCACCCGGGAGTCCACAGCCTGATCGGGGCGAGCGCTTCCCATGCAAGCAGAGCTCCCAATGCCCCGAGCTGTGGCCCTCGGCTGGCGCCCCGGAAGGTGGGTGGCCCTCAGCTGGTGCCCTGGAAGGTGGGTGGCCCTCAGCTGGTGCCCTGGAAGGTGGGGGGCCCTCAGCTGGTGCCCCGGGAGGTGGGCAGCGAGGACTGACCTCCTCTCTGAAAAGAGGCCTGGGAGGCTGAGTGGCTCTCCTGAGATTAGAGTGCAGTTGCGCCAGCCGCATGCCAGGAGCCATGCCTCGGCCCCGGGCCTGCTGTCCTGGGCTCGCTCCCTCCTGCACCACAAGGCAGACGGGCCTCAGACCCCACCCCCGAAAGTGAGAGCCTGAGAGCCGACCTCCTATTTGACCTTCAAACAAGTCAAAGCAGCAAAAACTAAAGTAAACCCTCAGCCGACATCTGCCTTGAATTCCGGACAGAGAGAGAGGAAGGGCGGGAGGGAGGGCAGAAAGGGGAAGCGCAAAAAAGGGCGACACTAGGCTACGCAGGTGAATTTCAGCTGCGATGTCCCAGGCAAAATTAGATTCAGACAACAAACACGCTATTTCTCATGCCAGCATCCATAGTAGAAAAGGGTTACATTTTTTTTCTTTTTATTGATTTGCGAGAAGAAGAAAGAGTGAGGAGGCAGAAAAGGGTTAATTTAAAAACAATGTCCTTTACAAGAACATCAAAACCGCCAAATATCTAGGAGTGACTCTAACGAAGGGCAGATAAGACCTACACACTGAAAACAACACAACAGAGAAGCGAGAGGCCGCGGTAAGCGTGGGGTATTTCATGGGTCGGGTGGTGTTAATTCTCTACTTTGATCTATAAATGCAGTACAATCGCAATCAAGATTCTAGCAGAATTATTTTTCTGGAAATTGAGAAGATGATTCTAAATTTAAATGGAAAAGGGCCGTGAATGGCCAAGACAATCCTGGAGGACTTGTACTACAGACCCCTGACTTACACTCTCCCTCCAGACAGTACCTGCTGTGAAGGAGGACAGACAGACGGAGCGGACAGGAAACCCGCACTGACCACCGGAAGCTGCAAGGAAAATGAAGGCCCTGCCCTGCAGCGGGGGAGGGCAATCTTTTCAACACGCAGCACACGGTTCACTAGGAACCCGCACGCCACACTGACCCTGCGCAGAGCAGCACACACAGAAAAACCTCCGGGCAGACTGAAGTCCAAACTGTAAGAGGCTTGGACAGATACAGGCAGACAAATGCAAGCAGCCCACCTTCTACCCCACACAGGGATGAACCCGGTCTGGGTTAAAGACTTAAAGCTTAGACTTGAAACCATAAACATTCTAGAAGAAAACATAGGCAGTAAAACCTCGGACATTTCTTGTAGCAATATTTTTTCTGATATATCTCCTAGGCAAGGGCAACAAAAAGAAACAAAAAGAAAAAATAAACAAATGAGACCAAACTAAAGAGTTTTTGCACAGCACAGGAAACCATCAACAACATGAAAAGGCAGCCCACTGAATGGGAGAACATATTTGCCAATGATATATCTGATAAGGAGTTAATATCCAAAATTTATAAAGAACTTTGAAAAATGCAACTGCCTTATGACCCAGTGATTCCTCTTCTGGGAATTTATCCAAAGAAACCCAAAACACTAATTCAAAAGAATATATGTATCTCTATGTCCATTGCAGCGTCATTTACAACAGCCAAGATGTGGAAGCAACCCAAGTGTCCATCAGTAGACAAGTGGCTAAAAAAGCAGTGGTACATTTACACAATGAAATACTACTCTGCTGTAAAAAGAATTTTTTTTTTTTAAGAAAATTTTTCACCCTTTGTGACAGCATGGATGGACCTGGAGAACATTACACTAAGCAAAATAAGCTAGTCAGAGAAAGACAAGTACCATATGATTTCACTCATAGGTGGAATTTAAAGCGCAAACTGAACTAATAAGTAAAACAGACAGACTCAGAGAGAGAGAGAAGACTGACAGCTGGGGGAGTGAATGGTTGGGGAGGGAGACTGAGCAAAAAGAAAAAAAAAAACAGAACTCATGGGCACGGACAACAGTGTGATGATTGAGGGGGTGAAAGGGGATGAGTGGAGGGATGAGGCATAGAGAGAATGAATGGTGATGTTTTGAAAAAAATAACATAAAATGAAAACATTTTTAAGATGTAAAAGGCAAAACAACACTAGGATCACATGCCGGAATATCTTCCTTACCTAAGGAAGGTTGTTAACAGAACTCAAAGAGCACTAACCATAAAAGACAAGAGTGAGAAACTGGGCGACTTAAAGTTAAGAATTTCTGTGACTCAAAAGATACCATGAGGAGAGTGAAAAGCCTTAAAACAGAAACGGACGATTTGCGCCCCCTCTTCCAGGGTCAGTTCACAACGCCTTGGGACATTTCTGTTGCCACAGCTGGTGGGGGGCACTGCTAGCATCTGGTGGGTGAAGGCCAGAGACGCTGCCGGCACTCTCTCAGGCACAAGACAACTCCCCACAGAGGAGAACTACAGCCCACATCAAGGCAGTGGTGGTCCAGGAACCTCACACTGCAGCCCACATCTCGGCAGTGGTGGTCCGGGAACCTCACACTGCAGCCCACATCGCAGCAGTGGTGGTCCGGGAACCTCGCACTGCAGCCCACATCTTGGCAGTGGTGGTCCAGGAACCTCACACTGCAGCCCACACTCGCTGCTTTCTGTGCATAGCCCCTACCCCAGCAATTCCACAAGGACACACGCACAGTGCAAGGGTCACACAGAAGAATGTTCACATCAGGATTATTTGTAATAGCCCCAAATGGGGAACCCAGACGTTTACCCAGCAGTGAGAAAGAATGAGAACCACGGCTCTACACTACATGGATGCTCTCACATGTTACATGAAAACCAGACATGCAAGAAACCACATCATGTCATCTAAAGATATAAAAGCCTAATATGCAAATTGTCCCCTCGGGAGCTCGACTGCTCCCTATGACGTGGGCTGACCACCAGAGTGCAGTGTGGAAAGAAGGAAGGCCCGACTGGCAGCTGGAAGGCCCCGATCGGCCCTGATCGCCAGCCAGGCCTAGGGACCCTCCCCGTGCACGACTTCCGTGCACCAGGCCTCTAGTTTTTCTATAAAATCCAAAAGTGCATCGCAATCCTTGGTGGTGTTAAAGTCCGAATCGTGGCCACGCGCTGGAGAAGGCGGGTGAGCAAGAGGCACGAGTGGAGCGGGGGCTGCTGTGCTCGGGGTGAGTCATCGGAGGGGACTCGAGTGGGCCTTCGGAGGCAACGGCCATTTCTTGGCCCCGAGAGAGGTTAGTTGGGCGTGTTCGCCGTGTGGACATCAGTGAGCACACACACACACAAGCATTTACATGCACACACTTGACATCGACTTCAAAGTGAATTCAAGAAAAAGCAGTGAGGAGAAACCAAGATGGCGGCATAGGTAAACACTGGAGATTGCTGCCTCGCACAACCACTTCAAAAATACAACTAAAAGACGGAACGGACATCACCCAGAACCACAGGAAGGCTGACTGAGTGGAAATTCTACAACTAGAAGGAAAGAGAAAAGCATACCGAGACTCAGAGGAGGTGCGGTGCGGAAGTAAAGTACAGAGGTACGGAGGCGCATGCGGAGAGGGCTGGCGGCTGAGGACACGATTTTCTTTTTCAATCGGGAGGGAGTCTCAAGCTCTGAGCTCCAGTTCCGGGCGAGTCTCTGGGGACCCAGACTCATACGGGAGAAACGAGACTGTCTGGCATCAGTCGAAACTTGAGGGCAGCTTTCTCTCGGAGGCGCTCGCAGGGATTGCCGGGGCCTCTGAGGGCAGGACTGAGAGCAGCCATACTGCTCGCTCTGACCGCCCTGTTGATCCCCTGGGACCCCACCCAGCCCAAGCCGTGCACGAGGCTTTTGCATATGAAAGCCCCGGCCCTTAGTAATATGAAAATTACTTAACAAACTGCAGCT